CCAGCTCTGACTCTGACCCTGTAACACCCCAGAAAATTTTTGAACTAAGACTCGAACCCTTATTTGTAGCGAGTGAGATTTTTGCAAGGAATTTAAAATTTCTTGAGTGTTAAGGTCACTAGACGTAGCACCTTGAGTTCCAAAAAGAATCAAATTGAAAATAGCAAAATCTGAAATTTTGCAAGTTAAGCTAAGTATGAGTTTTGGGTCAAATTCAAACGACCATAACTCCTAGATCAGGATGATTTAGGTGTGCTACCAGATACCTTAGGAAAGGTCTTCGAATTATATTTCCAACGCCACCGAGTCTGCTCAATTCCGAGCTCTGAGTAAAAAGTTATGACGAATTTACTAACGTCGCGCAAACCTGGCAGCAGCTCCGCGACGCGGAGCCAATACGGACCTCATTGCCTGGTGAAAGATCTTTTCGACTCCCAGTTTGTTTTAATTATTTCTTTAGGGGTATTTTAGTCCTAAAAACCCTTAGGAGGTCATCTAAATTGCCCTAAACGTGTAGAAAAATAGTTTTCTTAAATCTAAATCTTCTCATTCACTCCAAAGATTCCACTCTCAAGAAATTCAAGAAAAAACTAAGGCTAGGGTTCTTCTTCAAAGGTTTTCCTTCAAGTTGCTTCAAGAGGATAATTCTTTCAGGTATGTAAGCTTCCATAGTGTTGGGTTTGTTCACCCACATGCCAATTATGTTAATTTCAGCGTTAAATTCGTTCTAGAAAGTTGAAGCTTTGATGTTCTTGTTATGTATTCATGAAATTGCTTTTGTTCTTGAATTGGGCTGAGATTGAGGAGTTCTTGAGGTTATTGTGTCGATTTAAAGAGTTGTTAGAGTTAAATTCTTGTGTTCTTGTGCTAGGTATTTAAATCTAAAAAGAGATTGAGAAAAAGAATCGAAGTTAGGCGAATTGGGGTTAGGAAACGAAGAAGAAATTTCGTCGATCGAAATTTGGAACCCCCTCCGTATCGCGCAGCCACTTCTCAGATTTGGGAATTTCTGTTTCGCGTCGCGGAGTTGACACGGAGTGTTCTGCCTCAAAATCCATTTTCAAAACCAAAATTTAAATGCTTCTCCGCGTCGCGGACCCACTTTCAGATATTGACTTTCAGTTTTTTCTCATGTTTAGCTATCTAAAATCATTCATAAACATCATGAGACCTTTCCTATCACAAATCACATTCAAGGTAGAGTTGAGAGTCAAGTCTTGAGAGTTCTTTCGAACATTTTTCAAAAAATCCCTTTAAGTCGTTTTGAGGAGTCTTCTACAATTTCTAATAACTTGTTTCAAGACTCGAGCAAGTGAGTACAAGTGAGGAGAATGTATTCATAAGTCTACTTTATCATTACAAGATCCTTCATACCATGAAGCATAACTCTTAAATTCATAATTCACATTCAAGAGAGAGTTAAGAGTAGAGTTCAAGAAAGCCTTTGAGTTCAATTGTGAATCCTTTGAGATCAACTATCGATTTGAACTAAGTTTTGAGGAAGTAAGTCAGAGAATAAGAAGATTCGCATACATGAGTTCCATATTGTTATGTAAACCATCGAGTCGAGTTGTTTCATGCCCATAATTCCGCATGAACTTTGTCAGTTGAGCATCCTTCAAAGAAGTGGTATCTTCAAGCTCTATGCCTTTAAGTGTTAAGTTCCTAATCCCTTTTGCGAAGTATCTTTGAGTCCTTGATTTGAACATTTCATGCCCATAATCCTGAATGAACACTATAAGTCGAATAGTCTTGAGATGAGTAGTATCATTGCAGTTCTTGAGTTCCAAGTATTGAGTTCTATCTATAGTTATTGAAAACCTTGCATTGAGTCATTCATGCCCATCATTCGGCATGAGCCATATTTTAAGAAGTCTTTTACAAATGTTTAAACTTTGTTTTAAGACTTAAGTTTTGAGTTCAGTAAAGAGTAAAGTTAAAGTTCATTTCTTCAAAAGTATATGGGGACTATGTATTCCCAAAAAAGTTTAAAATGTTTTCACATTTAAATAAGAACGGAAAACTGAGATTTTCAAAAGAGCCTTTGAGCTAGTGTTTCAGTAAAGAGCTTTTGAGCTAGTTTTTCAGTAAAGAGCCTTTGGGCTAGTTTTCAGTTAAAGAGTAAATGCTTTCACAATAAAGCAAGAGAGGAAACCTAAATTTCCAAGATACCCTTTGAGCTAAGTTTTTGAGCAACTATCTCAAATCATAGAAAGAATTTTGTTTTTACAAACATATGAGCTAAATATATTTTGGGAGTAGTATTGAGCACCGATATGGGGATGCGAGTTTAGATAACTCAAGTCTCTATAAACCATGTAGCTATCATGGGTAGTAAAGGATCATACTTTTTAGATGACTCCTTAAGATGCTTTTAGCATAGACTAGTAGATCCACTTAGTAGTTCAGGTTCTATACCGATGGCAAGGTATAGGACGGTCCTTGGCAACGTGAGGTAAAACGTTATACCATCACTTAGGCTCATAGTGATGGTTATCAGTTAGAGAATCTCCCACATAAGTTATTGTATTCTTATATACATAGTTAATTGTATTTTTACATACATTTCAGAGTTATGTTGTATCCTTGCATACACACAGAGTTGACAACATGTTTTTAAACAATTTGTTTCTTTATATTGCACTAGTTTTAAATTGCTTTATATTGAAATGAGTTCAGTCATATTGAGTTGAGTACCCAGAGTCGAATATCATATCTTTGAGTTGAGTATCTAATCTCTGAGTTGAGTATCTTACCCTTGAGTACTTCTGAGTTGAGTAAGTTTGAGTAGTTTGGGGTATCCTTGAGTATTCCTTAAGTTGAGTAAGTTTGAGAAAAGGTAAGTATGTTTCCTTTTTATCAAGTTTCAAGCTTATGTTTATGCTTTAGAATTCCTCTTGCATACTTGTACATTCCACGTACTGAGCCATTTGGCCTGCATCTTCTCATGATGCAGACACAGGTATTCAGGATCATTAATAGGAGCTTCGTTGATACATCCGGAAGTTCGAGTTAGCTATGGTGAGCCTCTTTATTTTTCGGAGGATTTCATTTACTTTTCAATTTAGTCAGGATGTCGTGGGTCTTGTCCCGACTTCCATCTTTATCAATTAGAGGCTTCATAGATAGTCAGTATAGTTGAGAAGTCTGTATTATTTTATTAAATATTTTAAAGACTTAAGTGCCTATTTTATGGTGAGTTGAATATATTATTTTTATTCTAAGTTATTCATTTGAGTTAAAGTTTTTAAAAAGTTGAGTTTATTGAATTTTATTCAGTTTTAAGCTTTTGCATACTTAGGTTAGTCTTCTGCTTGTAGTCAGCCAGGATGAGGGTTCACTTGGGGACCAGCAATGGTTCTTAAGTGTCGGCCACGTCCAGGGTGTAGACTCGGGTCGTGATAGACCTCGACCCCGACCCCCACCCGAGACCTAAACAAATCCTTAACCGAGACCTGAACCCAACCTTAACCTCAACTTGAGACCTCGAGGCCCAACCCTGACCCTAACTCAAGATCCAACCCCCACCCGAGACTTGACACAGATCCAAGACCCGAGACCTTGACCCCTGCCCGATCCTGACTCCGATCTGAGACTCAACCGAGACCTCGACCTAATACCTAAACTTGACCTCGACCCCAAACCTTGATCCAACCTTGACATCGACACTTAATTTTCAATTTTTGAACCCTGATTTGACATTAACACCCGAATTGAGACCCGAAACTAAGACTCCAACTTGAGACCCGACCTCGACTCGAGCCACAACGCGCCTCCGACCTAAGATCCAACCTTGACCCAAGACTCGACCCCGACCTGAGACCCTGACTTGTGACATGACCCTGACCCGACACCAACCCAATCCTTGACTCCGACCCGAGATATGGCCCTGACCTGAGACCCGATACCCTTGTTTGTACTTATTCACGTTGAGGATTTTATTTTATTATTAATAAGAGGTTGCTAACGCTTTGTCTAGTGGTATGAATTTGTTTTTTTTTTTAAAAAAAAGAAGAGGAAATTATGTCCAAGTAGAATTGGAATCGCTATGTAACTTGGTTTGGCTTTGAAGAACAAAATTTAGCAGATTTGACCATCAAAAGCACCACATTGATGCTATGCAGACTAACTATAGCTATTGCCACACATTCAAAATTATTCTTGAAAAATAGTAGTCATTCTGATGGATTGTCACTTTTCTAATACGAAACAATAACACTTGTTAATACTAGTAAATGAAATTTCTCTAATTTTCCTGAACATCTTCTGCATACTTCCTTACAAACAAAAACATGGAGTCTTTGTGTGATTCCTTACTAACCTTGAGTTCGACGAAGTAGTCCATAACCTTGGGTACAATTGTGAAAATAACATGTATTAACACAAAGGGGTATTGAACTCATAAAATTAAAGGAATGTGTGGAGATATAGAATTGATCAATTAGTAGAAGACTTTATCTCTCAAGCTCTTTGATCAATTCAAATTCTTTACAAGTAAAGTAATCCTAATTTTGTTGGACTAATTCTTTGTACCTGATATGTCATAATTTAATTATCCATCTCTTATGACTAATTTATCAAATATCCAACGTAATCCTTGAACAAATCAAATGGAATTAAGTTGACAACATGAGTTTCCAACACTATAAATACCACCATTTCAATTGTTTGATTTCACCACAAGAAATCAACAGAAAATAAGAGCTATGGCAAAATACACTACTTTTCTCGCCCTCCTCTTTTGCCTCTTCCTTGTTGCTGCAACTGGTGAGTCGAATTCTAATGACATGATTCCATAGCAATTTTTAAAATATTTTTTTCTTATTAAATTTTGTGACTAGTCAAACATCATTATATAGCTACCAAATGTAATGATTTGTTTAAAATTATGAATTTTTAAAATATTTATTTTTTTAGAAAATAAAATTTATTTAGAAATTATGATAAATTTGCTATCTCAAGTACATACCATGAGGTTTCCAATTTTCTCATTTTTTGCAGAAATACAAATGGCAGAAGGGAAATATTGTTGGAAAAAAAGTGACAAGTGGAATGGGCCTTGTCAATACTCTTACAAATGTAGTTATCATTGCAAACACTACTATGGAGCTAAATATGGTATCTGTAAGAAGTACAAACCATGGGGTCACAAATATTATTGGGCAAAATATGCTTGCTATTGTTACTCACCTTGCCACTACTAACAAACTTTCAGAGCCTCATGGCTTGGCTTTGACTATGTAAACAAATAATTATGATGCTACCTATTTTATGCGTGTAACAATGTAATAAGGATGATTTATGTGTTTAATCATTTTGGCCAAGATTTGTGTGATGACAATTGTATTGTGTGCTTTTCTATGAGTTTTAATTGATGTGAACTATGATATTTTTCTATATAAATATTTATTGTGTAAAGTACCATGCAAGAAGAAGGCTTACATATATACATATAGTGAAAGACGACAAAAGCTATAAAAGATCCATCCCAAAGCCTGATAGGCATCAATATAGAACTTTTTTTTGGTTTCCCATCTGGTGTTCGATACCCATATTGGATCCCGATTAAATTTGGATTCGCACCGGAAAGTCCCACATTGGGGGGTAAAACACTCCCTAACAAAGGCGACTCCGTACCCAAGGGAAATCGAACTCGAGACCTCTTGATTAAGGATGAAGGAGTACTTACCACTCCACCACAACCCTTGTTGGTGCATCAATATAGAACTACTACAAAAGACCGTGAATAGAACTAGACATATACAAATATACAAACTTTCGGAATAAAAAAGACTAGTCAAATATACAGAAGAGATGAGTCAACTCTAGACACTAGTAAGCTCACCCTCAATCTACGACTATCAACTGCACTGCATGAGGATTGCGATCGACTAGAGCTCAGATCTACATCACGAAAAAGAGTTGCAAAGTGTGGTATATATGAGTACCAAAATAACGGGTACCTACAGTAGGCATCATAGACCGATCGAGCTCGATATTGTAAAAACATAATAAAATGCGAGTAAGTAAAACAGTAAGTAAGTTAGCTATAAGGGAACAATAATCGTAAGATAAGCCTCAAGTCGCATAAGGAAAAATTAATATTGATTCTAAGTAATCTAGGCTAGCTGAAACCTAACTAGACCCCCATAAGCCTAGAAGGTGCATACAAGAGACAGGATAGAGGAAATTAATAATATGACCATACCCCCATAAGCCTGACGAATACACATAAGAGCTTATATTGAAATCTGACATTGGTACAGTCGCGAAGGAGGCAAAACTCATCCTGTAATCTTACAATCTTACATGGCTACAATAAAGACTAGCATATTCCGGAATCTTACATCGGAAGGGTCAGTCATTCCCAGAATTTGACATCGGAATATCCACACGAACCTAGCTCCTTCAAGAATTTTACATCAAAAATATGGCTAGTCTTTTTCAGAATCTTACATAAAAAATAAAGAAAAAGCCACAACCAAACTAAGCATCTCTCAGAATCTTACCTTGGAACAACTAGTCAATTCTGAAATCTTACATATCAGAATAAACATTGAGAACCTACATTCTCCCCAAATTTTACATCGAAATAAGCTAGTCCCTTCTAGAATCTTACACCTAAAGACTACCACACAAGAGACGATCTTTCCCAGAATCTTACATCGGAGGATCCATCACACAAAGAATAGAACTAATCATCTAAAACATGAAATTAAACAAACCCAAAGAAGCCAGAACCAAAACCAAAAATTGTTTTCGAAGGTCAAAGTCCAACCTAAAAGGTCGCATCTAACCTAAATCTGAGCTAGACGAACAATCAAGGCTAAAGTCTAAGGCATACGTTAGCCAACCCTAGGCTAAGGCACTAACTATGCAAATAACAAGGTAATTCCAACTCATAACTAGATCATGGGAGCAATAATAATCATAACAACAAGAATAAGGAATATATACTATACTCGAATAAACTCAAAATAAGGCTAACGAAGTAATAGGGATGTCAACAAGAATTATACTAGCTAACTCAGCCCAAAAACTAGCAATTCATCATCTTAGAAGCTAACAAGAATACTATAACTGCTTGATTTAGGGAAGTTTTGAGCTAGTCGTGATTCTTTACTGTAGTAAAATTTATTGTGTTCTTATATTCTGCAATTTATTTCTTGTTTGATAGCTAAAATAACATAAAGGGATGATGACTTCATAAAAGCAATTTGTACTGGAGATACAGAATTGATCAATTATTACAAGACTAATTTATTACTTAAATGGCTCTTTGATCAATTCAAATTCTTTCCAATTAAAGAAATGCAAATTGTGCTAGACTAATTCTTTGTACTTGATGTCAATTTAATTATCCATCTTGTAATTAATTAAGAAAACATCCAACATAATCCTTGAACAAATCAAATGGAATTAAGTTGACAACATGAGTTTCCAATACTATAAATACCACCATTTCAATTGTTTGTCTCATCACAAAGAAATCAACAGAAAATAATAGCTATGGCAAAGTACACTACTTTTCTCGCCCTCCTCTTTTGCCTCTTCCTTGTTGTTGCTACTGGTGAGTCAAGAATTAATGACATGATTCTATAGATATCAACTATAATGATTTGTTTCAGATTACGAACTTTGAAAATATTTAATTTTTATTAAACTCTGTGACTAGTCAAACATGTCCAATAAAATTAAAAGGAGGCAAATTATGATAAATTTGCTATCTCAAGTACATATCATGAGTTTCCAATTTTCTCATTTTTTTTTTCAGAAATACAAATGGCAGAAGGGAAATACTGTTGGAAAAAAAGTGACAAGTGGAATGAACCTTGTCAATACTCTTACAAATGTAGTCATCATTGCAAGTATTATTATGGAGCTAAATATGGTATATGTAAGAAGTACAAACCATGGGGTCACAAATATTACTGGGCAAAATATGCTTGCTACTGCTACTCACCTTGCCACTACTAAGAATCTTCCAGTGTCTCATGGCATGGCTTTGACTATGTAAACAAATAATTAAGAAGCTATTTATTTTATGTGTGTAATATAATGTAATAAGGCTGATTTATGTGTGAAACCATTTTGGCCAGGCTTTGGGTGATGAGCAACTGTATTGTATGCGTTCTATGAGTATTAATTGATGTGAACTAAGGTTTTTTTTCTATACGAATTCTTATTGTGTAAAGTACCATGAAAGTCTAAGCTAAAATGAATAATAACTACATGACTCGTTAACATTGGTATACTGAATTTGCGGCATGGCATAGAATAGAACATGAATGGGTCTTCCTCGCTTCTAGATCAATTCGACTTTTCACTTTGCCATCTAGAGATAGTTTTCCCTGAGTTAGGATACGGAGTTGGAAGAGAATGCCAGCATATCAGTTCATCTAGTCTTAGTCCTACTTTTATCTCTACGACTTTTGTTACATCTCATGAAATTCCGTCTTCTAAGCCAGAGCCAGTTCAGTCTAAATAGAAGTAGACCAACATAGACATACATGTGTATTTATCACGCCCCAAGCCTAGACTTTATGAGAGATTGATACTCAATGCCATTGATGGTCTGAGCATACCTATAATATAGCATTAGACATGGCATACATATAGACATGAGCGAAAATATAGTTTAAAAGCATTTGAAGGGAATTCTTTTAAAAGAAACAAATTTCATTAACGTATGTCATAATACTGAAATCATTGACAAAGGACGTCAAACTGAAGCATAACTATCTATCTACCTATGAAACCTCTAAATATAATTGAGTAATGATTTAATGACTATCATTGCCTCATCATTAAACTCATCATGAACTTTAATGGAGGTATGCCACTGTGGATGCTATGATTCCTTTCTCTTTGAAACAATTTGTCCTCGAATTTGAATCTCGTAAAATAATAAAGACATGCATTAGTAAATAACATTCATTACCCGAAAACAACAATAATATGATCAACAAAACAATAAAAGAACCACTTTTAATTAATAAAAGACATAATACTGAAATCACTAAGACAATTTTGAAGATCTTAGATGTCGTTTTAAGGTTTTAGAATTTGGGGTGTGTTTGGTATGAAAGAAAATGTTTTCTTGGAAAATAAGTTGGTTTTAACTTATTTTCTTATGTTTAGTTGGTAAGTGGAAAATATTTTCTAGTGTGTGATTGGTGAATGAAAAAATATTTTTATTAGAAAATATCTTTTGTTTTTAACTAGAGAGTAGAAAATTCGTTTTAGGAAAATAGTTTCTCTTTTGGAAACCAACCTCGATAATGAATCCCACATCTGACCAAGACACCAGACCCCGGCCCCAAACCCAACCCCGACCGGAGACCCGACCTCGATCCTGACTCTAGACCTGACTACGACCCCGACCTCGACCCTCGACCCCGAATCAAGATCTAACCTTGACGTGAGACCCGACCTCGACCAGAGACCCGAGCTTGACCTCAATCGGAGACCCGACTCTGACTCCAATCCAAGACCCGACTCGACCCCAACCTCGACATGAGACCTTAACCCAACCACAATCTAAACCTGAGACCCCGACCCTAGACTCTGACCCCGAACCTTGATCCAACCTTGACATCGACACTTGATTTTCGATTTCTAAACCTTGATTCGACAATGACAACTGAATCGAGACCCCACCAACCCAAGATTCTGACCTCGACCCGAGACCCCTACCCAAGACCCAATCCCGACCCGAGATCTGATCTTGACCCAAGACTCGACCACGACCCGATCCCAACTTGATCCCCAACCCCGACCCGAGATCTTACCCTGACCTTATACCGTAGCCTATATGCTTTCAAGAAGAAACATTGTAGGTTATCAATTCTGATGTTTTTGTTTTGACTTTCCTGAATAATAGGGGAATAGACTTGTAGTCTTGGCTTGTAATATACTGGTTGACTTCGTGAAATTTTTTAGGTAAACCCATCTATCTAAGATAGGTCATGATGTTTACTCTCTCAAACAAAGCGTTTTTCCCAATAAACTTTCTCGTGTTCTTATATTCTGCAATTTACTTCTTGTTTGATATTTGA